AGGGAAAACCCTTATTGGCTTGGCATCCCTAGTTTTGAAGGTTCTCTTTATCCATCCTATCATTTTCCAAGCAGATGTAGTAAAGACATTGTTGTGATCTTTAAAAGTGAGATTCTCTCACATTATCATTCATAGGTCCTTCACATTAGTTTTTTGTTGTGTGGTTTAGTTAGTTTAATATGTTTATTATGCACCCCATACCCATCCTGTGGGCGGTAGTCAAAAGATTACAGAGGTACATAATTGGTCCAGGGACTGGACTCCAAAGTTTTGATAGCTAAGCAAGTTACAGAGGTAATGAACTCACAATTTACAAAGGTAGTGAACTCACAATTTACAAAGGTAATGAACTCACAATTTACAAAGGTAATGAACTCACAATTTACAAAGGTAATGAACTCACAATTTACAAAGGTAATGAACTCCAGGTAGGTCTGGTCACAATCATGACAAGTTACAAAGGTATTTACAGATTACAGAGGTACGTAATGGGTCCAGGGACTGGGCCCGGTTGGAATTCATTTTATATTCCGATCCAGTTTTTATTTCCTTGAGTTTTTCATAGCAGAGTAATTGACATTTGTCTTCACAGAACTTCATATTGTTTTCAGACACCCATTTAAAGGCTTGGTTAATGTCCGCTTGGAGACTTGCCGTATCCTCAGTGAATGGCTCGTGCAAATTGTGGTATCATCAGCAAAGGAAGACACGGTGCTGTGGCTTACATCTCTGTCTATGTCAGCTGTGAAGATGAGGATAAGGATGGGAATGAGTACTGTAGCTTGTGGAACAGAGCTTTTCATTGTAGCTGCCTCAGACTTTACTCTGTTTACTATTTTTCTTTGTGTTCTATTTGTTAGGAAGTTATAGATCCATCTACCAACTTTACCTGTTATTCCTTTATCACACATTTTGTGTACTATTATACCATGATCACACCTGTCAAAGGCTCATACAAAGTCTGTGTATACTACTACTGCATTTTGTTTGTCCTCCAGTGAATCTAAGACCATGTCATAGTGATCCAGTAGTTGTGAGAGGCAGAAGCAACTTGCTCTAAACCCATGCTGCCCTGGGCGGTGCAATTGCTGGATATCCAAGTGGTTGGCAGTCTTGCTTCTTAGAACCCTTTATTTATTTATTTATACAGTGGTTGAGTGTACATGCCAAAAGCCCCTTGTATGCAGAGCATTGTGGGCAGGCTTAAAATTAACTTAATATTAACTAAGCAATGATATATTCAGTGGTAAAAATAGAGTAAACAAATTACAACAAAGATTTTTATGATGTGGGACATTAGTGCTATTGCCTGTAATTCTTTGTAATTCTTTTACTGCCACCTTTGTGGAGTGGGGCTATATCTGTTGTTTTTAGTGATTGTGGGATGACCCCTGTGCTCATGCTCCCTCTCCATAGCATATTTAAAGCATGTGAAAAGGATTTTTTGCAGTTTTTGATGAATATGGAGATCCACAATTCTGGGCCTGGGGCAGAGTGCATTGGCATGTCATATATTGCTTTTTCAAATTCCTGTAGTGTTAAGATAATATCAGAAATTTTGCGTTAACAAAATTTTGAGTCTCGGTCATAAAAATTTTATTTAGATTGTCGATCTTTAGTCTGATTAACGGCTTGCTCAGTCATACCGGGACTTCAGTATCTCGCTCATTTCTTTGATGTCAGTTGTGTAAGTCCCATCTTGTTTAAGCATATGCCCAATACTGGATGTGGATTTTGCCCTAGATTTGGTATAGGAAAAGAAGTGTTTTGTATTTTCAGTTTCATTTTTAGCTTTAAGTTGCTCTTGTGTCTCATGACTCCTGTATGATTCTTTAAGCTTAAGTTCAATATTTTCTGTTTCTCTGGCCAGTGCCAGGCTGTGGCTCATATGTCAATTTGTGTGCTACCAACAGTAACAATTTGGTTGAACAGGCTCTGATCCACCACAAGGCCTGGTCACAGACTGGGACATGGGGGCGTTGATCCCCAAAACCCTCTCCATGTATACTCTAGGTAAATTTCAGATATACCGGCCCCTTTCAGCAGCTCTGTGATTCTTCGCCTTCGCCTGCAGAGGGGGTCTTTCTCTCTCTTTCTAGTTTTCATCTTCTCCCCCTTTTTTTTTTTATTTTTATCGGAATGTGCCTTGAGCATACCTCAAGCCACTTTTCTAGGGAAAAGTTTGGACCCATGTTGTACAGGGTAGGGATATGTTGATGGTTCCTACAGCCTTTTAATTTGGAAGTCAAATATATAAAAGGCTCAGAGAATGTGGTTGCTGATGCTCTCTCTAGATGTTTCATGTAGATGCATGGTGCGTACTTTGTACATAGTGTTTGTCTTGTGCTGACCTTGTTGTTTTTGCAGTGGTGAACTCTCAGCGAGCCTGAGTACTCTCTACCAGCCATCTGACTGTGAAGGGTCGAGTCAGAGCCAAAAGTGTGACGAGGGTCAGGGTGTAAGTAAATGTGAGTTGAGGCAGTGGTTGACAACCTTCGGTAACATGAGACGTTCAGGAAGGTATGTGATGTTGTGTCTTGGTGTGCTCTATATACAAAACGGCCCGACGGTTTGCCTTTGTGGTCCCCTGGACCCCTCCATATTCTATGTCAGCCTCCTCTTCATAAGTTTGGAGGATCTGTGTGGAGTGGGACCTTGGAAGATGGGCTTGAGTGCCTGACCATGTTAAGGATCGTGAGTGTTGACTGGAAGTCTCACTGTTTGGTTCGGCCACCAAGTGAGAGACACCTTGACATGTTTTGTGAAGTTTCCTGCCTGGTGTACACCTGACTGCTCTGGGTTTGGCTCTACTCTCGTCTCCTGATCAGGAAGATGCCACCCTGGAGTACCAGTTGCTTGCTGGATTACTGTAGCAGAGGCACAGGCCTGTTGGTGCGGGCTTTCACAGTGGGCATTGTGTGCAATTTTTGCATTGTAATGTGTATTGTTTAAAAGCCACTAAAATTGTAAATAGTTACACCCTTGAGTATATGGGTATGGTTAAAATGCTTTTCTAAAAATTCTGCAATCTGTTGTAAATAACAGTAAAGTGAAGAGTAGTTATGGTGCTAGGAAATATGTAGCATTTCTAGTAGTCTTGTTTACCGCCTTCAGACTTAAGCAATATACTTTTTACTAGCCGTATCCTGAGGGACACGGCTAGCTTTTGTGAGACTTCGTCTGGAGGTGGGGGTGTTATGGGGCTATAGGACCCAACATGTATTTATAAGTAACAGTTACTCTGGAATACCTAATTATATTGAATTGATGGGGACTTTGCTCTAAATGTCAGAAGGACTGATCAACCTTATGACTGAGAGGCAGCTGGGTCAAACCTATTTTTTCAATATAATAGGTTATACCATAGACACATAAACACACAATTTAAATAAGTAGTTTATAAAGTTGTATTTCTTTTTGTAAAAGTAAAATTAAGAGGTGGTAGAATTGTGGTAACTGGAGAATTGTGCTTGGCAACAGTCTTTTGTTTTGGTGGGAGGAGCTTAGGTAGGCTTCTCTCTCTCTCCCTCTCACTGACTCTCTCTCTCTGTGGCTGACCTTCAACCTGGCAGGATCTCTGGGTCCTTCTCCTATCTTTTGGGGCATCATGTGTGCTCCAGGGTGAGTTTTTATAATTTAAGTTTTGGCCACCATAACCAGGGTGACTAAAGTGTGTCAAAACACTGGTTAGCCCGGAGTTATGTCAGGAAGAGTGAAGGACAAGAGTTGTTGCAACACACCATGTGGAGCACAGGCATGGAGTGTGTAGATTTTGTTTTGAAAATGGAGGCTGTGATTGTATATTCTGTACATATCTATTGAGAATACAGTTATATTTTTATAGTAGTAGTTTACATAACCTGTGAAGAGGGCTGGTGAAAGGGTATCAGAGACACTCAAGATGATCAGCCATGATGTAAGTATTACCCCTAGACAAATAAGGCCATTAAGTAAAAGCTACCCCACACTAGAACATGTAGTGAGAACCTTACCATCCAAGAAATAAGGGAAACCAACGTAACAGGGAGAAATTTTTCCTGTTAAGTATTGTACGAGGGAGAATTTCAGAAGATTTGTATATTGAGCATATACCTGAAGAATGTTTTTTGGAGGGTCAACACCCCCACGGTCCATCCCCACCCTAAGCCTCCTGGTGGATCAAGGCCTGATCAACTAGGCTGTTACTACTAGTTATATGCATTCTAACATACGAACCACAGTCCATCTGATCAAGCACTAACCTGAGTAATTTATAAAGCTCCCACGTGAAGAAATCAGGCGGTGTTTTGGTAAGCCCCTTATGTATGAGGGAAGCCATTTGAAAAGTATTTGTGTAAAGATTTCAAGGGTGAGTATCTGAATATGTTGAGAATGGCATCAAAATATAACAGTTTCATTATTTACTAAAAAATATCCATCAACCCTTCCCTTGCACTCCAGGCTATGATGATGTTAATTGAGAAAATAAAGCTCGTCTACAACCTACTCCCACCCCTCAGGTCTAAATTGCAACACTGTTATGTTTAATGTCCTGATTTGTGTGTAATTACAAATTTGTAATTACATTTATATAATAGAGCTTATGCTTGTGGTTTCATCTTCTGTTTTAAAGTACGTAATCATAAAAATTTATAATTCTAGTGGTTGTAGCACAACTGTTCCCTCCATAATTTCTTTCTAGTCATCTGTTATTATGAGTGAAGAAATATTTCCCCTGTGTTCATACTACAATGCTTCTTATATTGTACATGTAGTTTAAAATTATGGGCTCCTGTTCTCCATGTTGCTGGTGTCAAGAAATTATCATTATTGTACTGTGTTATATTCATGAGGAAGCTCTAAACTTGTAGGGGTCCTAAAGCTCTTGCACAATGGGAGGTAAAAAAATGATTCAGGGAGGAGAGGGTAGCTACAGTTCCTTGGATCAAGAGCCCATAACTTATATTGGGGCAATCCCCTTTGAGGGAACATATTTTTATCAAATTGTGTCTGTGCGACAGAGATGTCATTTAAAGCATGGCAGTGTGGAGGCAGTGTGGAGGTGGCTCCCTGCAGCCGTGTTGGCCACGTCTTCCGTAAGAAACATCCTTATACATTCCCTGATGGCAATGCCAACACTTACCTCAAGTAAGTCAATGAAATAAGCTCAACTGCCCTAAAATGCTACATTAAAAAAAAATGTTGTGCACTGATATATATATTTTTGAGAATTAACATAGTTCTGTCTAATTTTTTATTTTTCATTAATCCTTACTTATTACTAGGTAGTAGGTTGGTAAACAGCAACCGCCCAGGGAGGTACTACCGTCCTGCCAAGTGAGTGTAAGACGAAAGCCTGTAGTTGTTTTACATGATGGTAGGATTGCTGGTGTCCTTTTTTTCTGTCTCATAAACATGCAAGATTTCAGGTATGTCTTGCTACTTCTAATTAAACTTAGGTCACACTACACATACATGTACAAGCATATAGTATATACACACCCCTCTGGGTTTTCTGCTATTTTCTTTCTAGTTCTTGTTCTTGTTTATTTCCTCTTATTTCCATGGGGAAGTGGAACAGAATTCTTCCTCCGTAAGCCATGCATGTTGTAAGAGGCGACTAAAATGCTGTGGGCAAGGGGCTAGTAACCCCTTCTCTTGTATAAATTACTAAATTTAAGAGAAACTTTCGTTTTTCTTTTTGGGCCGCCCTGCCTCGGTGGGATACGGCCGGTTTGTTGAAAGAAGAAGAAAGACTTGCTTATTAGAATAACTTAACCTTGCTAAAATTAACGTAATACAGGTTTCCCTCAACATTCGCGAGGGTTAGGGGATCAAGAGCCTTGCGAATGTTGAAAAATCGCGAATGTTTGGTGCCCCAATATATTGTAGGGAAATAAAATACAATAATGCTTCCTTAAGTTGTTGAACCGTGAACAGTCATAAAATACATGAAAATGTTGTAAAATGTTGTACTAAATACATACATGTTATGGTTTAATAACACATATGTTATTAAATACCACTGCTTCAACCACTGCCTCAACCCACTGCCTCCACCAGTGCCTCAACTGCTGCCTCAACCACTGCAGCATACTGCTCATATTTTGGTACAATTTCTGTCTTCAATTCTATTGTGTTTCTCAATTTCTTTACCAAAGGGCTGGCACTAGCAAGTTTCTTTGGGCCCATGGTTAATTATGTGGCAGTCGCACTCAATCTACAAGCACCAAACACAATGAATTATTGTGAAATGTTTGAAAGTGTGGAGCCTAATGCTCACTCCAGCATAAACAAAGGCACACTGACTGACGATGCGTCAACCACTTCTTCCACCACTGCTTCAACCCTCGTATTTTTGTACAATTTCCTTCAATTCTGTCATATTATTATTATTATTATTATTATTATTATTATTATTATTATTATTATTATTATTATTATTATTATTAGCAGTAGCAGAAATGTTTGATTCTTTGCAGTGTTCAAGAGTAAACATATGATGTCACCGTCCAATACATGTCCGAATAGCCATTCCAATATTCAGTCATGAATGGGTTGACATTATTTATACTGTAGTTTAATAGCAAATAATGAACAAACAAAACACTCACCACACTGAGTGGTGGGAGGGCTGGCTGCCAGTTATTGGGGTCGGAGGGAGGGTAGTAGGGACTCGCTGGTGGCAGGAAACCTAAATATGATTTGGCGGCTGGGAATTTGGCAGTTGGGAATTTGGTGGTTGGGAATTCGCGAACGTGTGAAGCCTGCGAAAGTTGAAAACGCGAATGTTGAGGGAGACCTGTATAATGTAAAATAATTCAGTCCCACCCAACCTATCTTACATCAGTTTAAATTTATTTACAGTAATTTTCTTCAACATCAATTAGATTTAGATTTAGATTTTTTTATTTTGACAAATTACGTGGTTGTACAGAGGAATATAATAGTTGGGTGTACATGCCAAAAGCCCCTCTGTATGCTGAGTATTTCAGACAAACTTAAAGATTAACTTAAGAATAGTAAGGAATAATACATAGTTTATATGGTCATTAGATGAGTTTGAGTGAGTACAGGAATATTTAATATTATATCAGGTGATCGTACATGGTTCTGATAAGTCTAGTAGAGACTTTTTACACTATTGAATTAGTTAATAAAGATTACAGTATTACAATGTAACAATTTAAAACAATTTACAATATGATGTACTTATTACAGTTGTATTTAAAATAATGTAGTACTATTTAATACAGTGAAAAGAACAGACATCCTAATTTCGAAATAGTAAGTGGTTGAGCATTTATCAGCACAATATGAGTAGCTTTTGAGAAACTGGTATTGGTTAGGTATGGTTTGTCTGGTTAATTTTGGGTAATGGGGTGATTTCTTATTTGGGCCTTAAACTGATTTGCAAACAGGGGTCCTTTAGTTTGTTCTGGCAATGTATTCCAGATCTTCGAGTCTTTTTATGTGCATAGCATTTTTGCATAGGGAGAGATGGACATGGGGGATATTGAAGAGTGATCTGTGTCTCGTATTATGGTTGTGTGTTCTGTTATAGTTATCAAGAAGGAGTTTGAGAGGAGGGTTTACATTAGAGTATATAATGTTCAGTGTATGTAGTAGTCACAATAATAAGTGTGGATGCTTTGCATATTTAGCAAGTTAAGACTCTTGAAAAGAGGTGAAGTGTGTTGTCTAATGCAGGAGTTGAATAATAATAATTTCATGGTGTTCAGATTGATTTTTGCAGTCATTGAAAGGATGAATTTTCAGTGTGTTTTGCAAGATATAGAAACTGTGAAAGTTAAGTCACATGTGCAACATCTGGATATCTTTATTGTAGATGTTTTGCCAGCCAGTGGTTTTATCAATACAGATTCTAGGACATAATTAGAAGACAGTAGAACTATATGCAAAAGATGAGGTAATCTGTCCCTCAGCCTTTGAGTTAGTGTTCACAGCATCGTGGTGGAGATTCTCCACCACCACGATGCTGTGAACACTAACTCCAAGGCTGAGGGACAGATTACCTCATCTTTTGTATATAGTTCTACTGTCTTCTAATTATGTTCTAGAATCTGTATTGATAAAGCCACTGGATGGCAAAACGTCTACAATAAAGATATCCAGATGTTGCACATGCGTCTTAACTTTCACATTGTCGGTATTTTATACCTTTCTTGCACAAGATATAGAAACTACTGTAAACCTATATGTATATAATCTGTATGTACTTAAGGTAATTTACCCATGTTAGTTAATGGCCATATAAGACCTCAGGTGAATCTTTTAAAACTGTGTCATTCTCAATTATGCCAGCCATTCCTATTAAGCAACTTCTGTGACCTGAAGCACACCTTCCCAAATAATAATTTTTATTGCATCAGGTGAGCTTAACTCTTCAATATTAATTAATATCTCTTTAATAATTCAGGTAAGTCACACACACACACATTCAGTTTCTTAACCAGTTTGCTGTTACTATAACTGCTGTCTAAAAACTGCATAGAGCAAAGCAATAGTAAACCTTGTTGTAATTTAGTGACATGCATTAGTTTCTAGTAAACTACATATTGTATGTGGCTAGAGCTGAGTATATCAAAGGGAGCTAAAATTGCAGAATGGATTCAAGAATAGCATTTTGTCTTTTATTAGCATTCTACGCTCCTAAACCAATCAGTCACTGCTCAGAATTATCTTATTGCGAGTAACCTATTACTGCTACCTAATATCACACATTTCCCATCAGTGTTCAATTTAATATCCATAAACCAGCCACTAGATTCCCATGTTGACAATAACTTTCAGCACCTGTCCCAAAGGGTACATTTTCCCACAAACTTTCTGTATCCTGAAGAGTGAAACTTTCTGCCAAGAACTGTCCTACTGGCCTGCTAACACTAGGTTGTTGTTGCTAGTTTATTCAATAGGGGAAAATTGTCTAATGTGGTCTTGATCATATACATAATGACTCATTCAGTGGCTCATAAAAGCTTCATAACAATTTAATTATTTTGTACATAAAAGCTGTGAAATTGATTAGTTATGGCCTTAATATTACAAGGTCACTACAGACAGATTTATTGTACATTATGTTGTAGAATCCTTAAATTTGTTTTCACTGCTGGCAAGTGGCTGCTGTAATGACATGTTGGTGACTGATTTCTGTAATTGCAGGAACTCCCGAAGAGTGGCAGAGGTGTGGCTGGATGAATTCATTCATTTTTTCTATGAGACAAGACCCAGCGCCCTCCAGATACCATACGGAGAGTAAGTTTCTCTTTACCAAGTGGTTTGTTGCAGTAATTTGCTTGTTAGGTTCAAGGTCTGTCAGCTGCAAGAGCAGCTGATAGGTCTCATTTCACTTGTATAGAAACATGTATACTCAACTCACTTGTATACTAATTTTTACGCTCAGTTCACTTGGTACTACCGTCCTGCCAAGTGAGTGTAAAACGAAAACATCATGTAATTGTTTTACATGATGGTAGGATTGCTGGTGTCCTTTTTTCTGTCTCATGAACATGCAAGATTTCAGGTATGTCTTGCTACTTCTACTTACACTTAGGTCACACTACACATACATGTACAAGCACATATATACACACCCCTCTGGGTTTTCTTCTATTTTCGTTCTAGTTTTTATTCTTGTTTATTTCCTCTTATCTCCATGGGGAAGTGGAACAGAATTCTTCCTCCGTAAGCCATGCGTGTTGTAAGAGGCGACTAAAATGCCGGGAGCAAGGGGCTAGTAACCTCTTCTCCTGTATATATTACTAAATGTAAAAGGAGAAACTTTCGTATTTCCTTTTGGGCCACCCCGCCTCGGTGGGATACGGCCGATGTGTTGAAAGAAAGATATATATATATGTATAATATATATATATATATAATATATTATATATATATATAAATATATTATATATATATATATATATATATATATATGTTATATATATATATATATATATACATGTATATATATATACAGGAGGGCCTCACTTATACGGCAGGTTAGGTTCAGGCTACCGCCGTTAAAGCGGAAACCGCCGTAAAGTGGAACACACCTTTTTTTTTTCACTTATAAATGCATACAAACACTAGATAACAAGTTTACACTAACATATATTAAGTTAGCAATAGAACCAGGCATCAAAAAACAATAAAAAAGTACAATACACACATAGTGCACTCATTACTTACCTTAAAATATTTATAGTCTTAATCTAGGGTGAGACAAGTAGTATTTATTGTAAGAAATCAAGTGTGGTATGTATGGTAATAGCCAGGCTACCTTACCAGGCCACCCCACCCACACATACTATTCTATGATATTTAAGCATCCCAGAGCGATAAAATGTATATACATTTCACTCATTACTTATTTTTTTTTTTTTTATTATCACACCGGCCGATTCCCACCAAGGCAGGGTGGCCCGAAAAAGAAAAACTTTCACCATCATTCACTCCATCACTGTCTTGCCAGAAGGGTGCTTTACACTACAGTTTTTAAACTGCAACATTAACACCCCTCCTTCAGAGTGCAGGCACTGTACTTCCCATCTCCAGGACTCAAGTCCGGCCTGCCGGTTTCCCTGAATCCCTTCATAAATGTTACTTTGCTCACACTCCAACAGCACGTCAAGTATTAAAAACCATTTGTCTCCATTCACTCCTATCAAACACGCTCACGCATGCCTGCTGGAAGTCCAAGCCCCTCGCACACAAAACCTCCTTTACCCCTCCCTCCAACCCTTCCTAGGCCGCCCCCTTTACCCCCTTCCTTCCACTACAGACTGATACACCTTGAAGTCATTCTGTTTCGCTCCATTCTCTCTACATGCCGAACCACTCAAACAACCCTCCTCAGCCCTCTGGACAACAGTTTTGTTAATCCCGCACCTCCTCCTAACTTCCAAACTACGATTCTCTGCATTATATTCACACCACACATTCCCCTCAGACATGACATCTCCACTGCCTCCAGCCTTCTCCTCGCTGCAACATTCATCACCACGCTTCACACCCATATAAGAGCTTTTGGTAAAACTATACTCTCTACATTCCCCTCTTTGCCTCCAAGGAACAAAGTTCTTTGTCTCCACAGATCCTAAGTGCCCCACTCACTTTTTTTCCCCTCATCAATTCTATGATTCACCTCATCTTCACAGACCCATCCGCTGACACGTCCACTCCCAAATATCTGAATACGTTCACCTCCTCCATACTCTCTCCCCCAATCTGATTTTCCCAATCTTTCATCACCTAATCTTTTTGTTATCCTCTTTAACCTTACTCTTTCCTGTATTCCCCTTTTAATTTTTCTTTTGCACACCTACCAAATTCATCCACCAATCTCTGCAACTTCTCTTCAGAATCTCCCAAGAGCACAGTGTCATCGGCAAAGAGCAGCTGTGACAACTCCCACTTTGTGTGTGATTCTTTATCTTTTAACTCCACGCCTTCTTGCCAAGACCCTCGCATTTACTTCTCTTACAACCCATCATAAATATATTTAAACAACCACGGTGACATCACACATCCTTGTCTAAGGGCCCACTTTTACTGGGAAAAAATTTTCCTCTTTCCTACATACTCTAACTTGAGCCTCACTTTTCCTCGTAAAAACTCTTCACTGCTTTCAGTAACCTACCTCCTACACCATACACTTGCAACATCTGCCACATTGCCCCCCTATCCAAACCCCGTCATACGCCTTTTCCCAAATCCATAAATGCCACAAAGACCTCTTTTAGCCTATCTAAATACTGTTCACTTATATGTTTCACTGTAAACACCTGGTTTCCCCACACCCCCTACCTTTCCTAAAGCCTCCTTGTTCATCTGCTATCCTATTCTCCGTCTTACTCTTAATTCTTTCAATTATAACTCTACCATACACTTTACCAGGTACACTCAACAGACTTATCCCCCTATAATTTTTGCACTCTCTTTTTCCCCCTTTGCCTTTATACAAAAGAACTATGCATGCTCTCTGCCAATCCCTAGGTACCTTACCCTCTTCCATACATTTATTAAAATATATGTAGTCTTAATGTAGGGTCAGGAGTAAGTAAATGAGATAAAACGAATAAATGAGAGAGAGAAAGAATGAGTACATGAGAGGGAAGGCGCAGAGTTATGTAAACAAACCAGGCGAACGTAAGTTTTGTAAACAAACGAAGTGTACACGTCTGGTTTGTGTACAAGTTACATTGTGTACAGGTTGTCTCTGCATTGATACGGTAGAATTAATAAAGAAGAACACTCCCATTCTCATGTAACATCATTTTGAGAAGAAATGAAGCTCTGAGTGAAGGCAATGGAAATAAGTCACACTGACTTTTTTGGGTTATCCTAGGTTCTCTACACGTATGTTATGTATGATAATCTATGTAACTGTATTTGTGTATACCTGAATGAACTTACTTACATACATACGAAAGGAATAATTTTCTACAGTTACCCCCAGTAACACATTTTCTCTTATGTTAGATTAGAGAATATGTTATTCTTGCCGTCACTTGTACAAGTTATGTGGCTCCCACATCTTAAATTTATGTTTATTTATTATATTGTGGGGTGTATTTATCATCTTTTTATGTTATGTATCGTGTTTATTATATAATTTTGAAAAAAAATATCATGGATGGATTAATGAAAATGTGTATATTAACGTAATATACGACATTTAATGAGACTCGGTGAGTATTGTTATTATTATCATTTCTAATATGGCGTCACTTGTGCAAGTCGTCTGCTACCACATCTCACATTTATGTTTATTTATTCTACTGTGGGGTGTATTTATCTTATTTATATGTTATGCATCGTGTTTATTATATAATTTTGAAAAAAATATCATGGATGGATTAATGAAAATGTGTATGTTACCGTAATATACGACATTTAATGAGACTCGGTGAGTATTGTTATTATTATCATTTCTAATATGGCGTCACTTGTGCAAGTCGTCTGCTACCACATCTCACATTTATGTTTATTTATTCTACTGTGGGGTGTATTTATCTTATTTATATGTTATGCATCGTGTTTATTATATAATTTTGAAAAAAATATCATGGATGGATTAATGAAAATGTGTATATTAACGTAATATACGACATTTAAATGACTAGATGATTATTATCATCATTACTAATATGACGTCTGGAGACATAAGACACTTACCAATTTTAATGTGTACCTGCATGCCAGCACAGTAGGTAAGTTTATTTAGGTACAGGTATACATAAGTATAATTATCAGAGTATATATAAAATATGAAATAACTTTTAAAAACATTTGAAATTTTGGAGTTTCCAGACAAAATGGAGAGACTTAGTGCTTACTGAGCTCATGGAGAATGTAAACAAACAGGGTGGGGCACGGTGACCATATTAGAAAGTCAGGTGGGGGGAGCCGTATAGCGAGTTTTGGTCATAATTTGAAATGTCCGTATTAGCGGAACGCCGTAAAGTGAAACGCCGTAAAGTGGGGCCTTCCTGTATATATATATATAATATATATATATATATATATATTATATATATATATATATATATTATATATATATATATATATATATATGCTCTTTGCTGATGACACTGTGCTCTTGGGAGATTCTGAAGAGAAGTTGCAGAGATTGGTGGATGAATTTGGTAGGGTGTGCAAAAGAAGAAAATTAAAGGTGAATACAGGAAAGAGTAAGGTTATGAGGATAACAAAAAGATTAGGTGATGAAAGATTGAATATCAGATTGGAGGGAGAGAGAGTATGGAGGAGGTGAACGTATTCAGATATTTGGGAGTGGACGTGTCAGCGGATGAGTCTATGAAAGATGAGGTGAATCATAGAATTGATGAGGAAAAAGAGTGAGTGGTGCACTTAGGAGTCTGTGGAGACAAAGAACTTTGTCCTTGGAGGCAAAGAGGGGAATGTATGAGAGTATAGTTTTACCAACGCTCTTATATGGGTGTGAAGCGTGGGTGATGAATGTTGCAGCGAGGAGAAGGCTGGAGGCAGTGGAGATGTCATGTCTGAGGGCAATGTGTGGTGTGAATATAATGCAGAGAATTCGTAGTTTGGAAGTTAGGAGGAGGTGCGGGATTACCAAAACTGTTGTCCAGAGGGCTGAGGAAGGGTTGTTGAGGTGGTTCGGACATGTAGAGAGAATGGAGCGAAACAGAATGACTTCAAGAGTGTATCAGTCTGTAGTGGAAGGAAGGCGGGGTAGGGTCGGCCTAGAAAGGGTTGGAGGGAGGGGGTAA